TACAACAGTTAGCTATTGATGAGTGACAAAACACATGACCAACGTACAAAATCTTATAGCTAATATTGCTAAGACTCTAAAGATCTCTGTAAGTAAGCTAATTAATTACTACAAAGATTAATCTGTGTTAATGAACACTCAGGACTATGGATAAGATTAGCTATAAGAAGAAAGTAAGGACGGCTGATAAATATTTAATTAATTCAAAAATATTACTATAGAAACAAGTATTGAAGGGTTGAACTTGCAATAATTAAGCTCCACCTTCTGAAACTACAACATTATGGAGTAAAAGATTTTAGTTAATAAAAACAAGCTTTTTCAAAGTTACAGTTGATTTTCATTGGTTGTTACCATCTCGAAGCATTTTAATTTTGAGATCACATCAGCGCCCCAAAGTTGTCATTAGGAGATGTTTTCAATACACTGTGAAGCRTTGTAGTGTGCAGTTGTGGATTCTTTAATTTCAACAGTTAATACAACTCGCTTTTAATAAGATAACTAGTAGGGACCCGTATGATGCTTTGGTTTATAAAAAATAATTATTGTTAATTGAATATGAATATTTTTTTTAATAAATTTAGTTTTATTAATAATTTGTTGTAATTTTAATAATTTTTATTTTTTTTATTATTTTTAAATAAAATTTTGATTAATTTTAAATAAATAAAAACAATTATAAAAGCTAACATTTTTATTAATTCCACTAATAATTAACAATTATATAGGAATCACAACAGGGTGGGTTCAGTGTAAGGCACCCCCATTGCTTTCCCTACCCCATAGTCAAGACACTTTACCCCATCCTCGCTCCATCCCCAATGTCACGCGGGTTCAGGGCAAGGTAACCACTCCTCAATGTTGGGCGAGTTTAAGGGCAAGTCACCCCACTCTTCATCAAGGATGGAGAATCCTCAAATTTTCCTACCCCGTCCCCAGTATTGATCAGGTTCAAATAGAGGTGTAAATTGGGTCATGCTGGGTCAACACAACACAACCTGCATGTGGCCCGCACAAAATGCAAGTTGTGCCATGCTAGCCCACGAGGCATCTCGTGCTGTGGCTCCCTCCTCTAAGATAATTTGGGGGTTGGTTTGGCATAGCCCATGGCTCGAGCCCGCACAGGCCTGTGCCGTGCCGTGGGTCGGGTAGGTTCATGGGCCAGGCCATGCCGCACACCAAGCCAAGCTCAAGGCAAGGCACCCACTCCCTATCCAAGGTTTTTAAAATTGGATCGGATAGGGAACCATTCTGGGGTCGAATGGTCTAACTATTCAGTTCGAACAGATGTCCCGCTCTGACAAAAAAAATGGAAAAATAAAAAATGCAAAAAAATGTTGCCCGGGTTGACAGTTTGACCACATAGGTCAGCGGTTCGCTAACCAAATAAACGATTTTTGGAAAAAAGCGGTTTTGAGGTGAAACAGTGTCTGGTTTTGAAAACGTTGTCCCCGTCAACCCAATATTCAATTTGATGATAGAAATGATCAAAATGATATATTGAATATCAACCACATGGTGAATTTCTAAAAGTATACTAAATTGTCTTTAATATTCAAAAATGTAATTTTATGAAAATTTTGGATAATTTATTTTACTTGTGTAATTTTGAAAATTTATTCAAATTTATTTAAATTTTTATTAAATAATTTATTTTCTTTTTAAATGGTTTACTTACAGAATTAAACTAATTTATCTTATAATTTCCAATATAAACTAACCAATAATTTCCTTTTTCCAATATTATACTAATTTATCTTAATAATGTGTGTAATTATTTGTTCAAATTATAGTTTTCCATTTCCATTAGTCATTTATCTTTAATAATTTTCAATAATTTGCAATGAAAATTACATAAATTTTCAATAATTTTCCAAAATCTATCAAATGTAATAAATTTTCCTAAAATTTCCAAAATATTCTAATAATTTTCAATAATTATTTAATGCATTTTAAATAAACTTTCAAATACTTTATATCTTTTAATTTCAAAAATGTTATTTTACGAATATATAGTTTTATGAAAAATTTATTACATTTGTGTAACTATGGGGATTTATTGAAAATTTGTTTAAATTGTTATTAAATATATATTTTTATTTGGTAGTTTACTAACAAAATTACACTAATTTATATTTTATTTTTCAATATAAATTAATTAATAATTTCATTTTCTAACATTATAATATTTTGTTCCCCCATTTGTATTTGGTTATTAATTATAATAATAACAATAACTAAAATTTTATACTTTTTGATAATTGTTAAATACAATTCTCAATTTTATAGAAATTAGTTAAAGAGTTTTCAATTTCTATAAAATCTTGTTAATGAGTTAATTAATAACAATATTTATTAAATTTAAGTAATTTACTAACCATATTTATTAACTTTTGGTAATATTAGAAAGTCAAATAGAATGCAGGGTGGGGATAATGGAGCAAGGAGAGGCATAGTGACGGGGACTCATGCTTTGTTAAGCGAAAGTTAAACAATAGAAATACATAAGAGTATATAATTGTTTTATATTTTAACTTTTTAATAAACAGTCCGATCAAACTCAACCCGAGTTGGTCGGTTTTCTAGTATTTCAGGTCGGCTTTGGTTTAATATATATATATATATATATTTTTTTTAAATTTATTTTTTTAATACGGGAAAGTAGGAAAAATCCYATATTTGTTAGTCTAAAATATTTTATATCATAAATTTAATTTTTGTAATTTATTTTTTAATAATATCATTGTAATTTATGAAATTTAAAGTTAATTTTTAAGTTTAAATCTTTTGAACAAACAAACTAAACCGAAAATAGACCCAAAATGCTACAACCTGAGTTGGTGATTTTTTGCTAATGGTCAATCGGTTTAGAGTGACAAGCTGCGGACTTGACCAGATCTATTTGGTTGGCGAAACATCCTACAACTGAACTGAACCAATCATTGAACACTCCTAATTTCAACTAAATTTATAGTCTAATCTCTAATAAATAACAATAGTTTAATCTCCAATAATTATTGAAAATTTATAGCAAATGTACACAATCATTGAAAATAAGTTTATAATGAAAGTATAATAGATATATACTAAAAATATAATAATTACAAAAAATATAATTAATACTGAAAATATACTAAATTAGTCAATAAATAGTGTAATCTTAAATAATAGTTTAATCTCTAATAAGTATTAATCTGTAAATTATAAAAATATATAATTAATAAAAATAAATTTATAACAAAAATACGATAAATTAAATTTCAAAAATTAAATAATAGTTGTTTAATCTCCAACAATTATTGATAATTTTCTATTAAATAACAAAAAAACATTTATGAATAATTATTGAAAGAATATTTATAAAAAAAATAATAAATAATTGCTGAAAATAAAATAAATATTTATTATAGTATATATAAATATATAATGAATATACACTATTATTGTAAAATTATTAATTGATATAAGTGTAATTAGTTATTTACAATATTATTTAGTTATTGAAATAATGTTGTTATTTAAATTCTTAAAATATTAATTATTTATTGAATTTAATAGTCCATAAAATTATAATTGTACTATTATTACATAATTTTTTATTAATTTTTTAAAGTGTTAAATTATTATTAATATGAATATTATGAATTCTATTATAATTATTTTTCTAYTTTTAAGAATTATTTTTAAATTTATTACACAATTTTTGTATTTTAACTATTTAAAATTTTGTCATGTTAAATATTTTGTTATTTAAATATTTAAATAATATGTAAAATATTTAAAAATTTTCATTATTTGAATTTTATATATTTTATTGTTATTACATAATATTAAATATTTTGTTATATTATTTTTCTACTTTTAATGTTTTTTTATTTAAGATTTTTAGTTATTGAAATATTTAAATAATGTTTTACTTTTTAATTCTAAATTTTTATTATTTGAATAATATTTAAATTGAATAATTTGTTAAATTATAATTTATATTGTTGCTACACAATTTCATGATGAATTTTGTAAAAATATTGAATTATTAATAATATGAATATTATTAAGTCTATTAATTTTTTGTGTTTTGAATAAATATTTTAAATTTAGTATATAATTTTGTTATAACATTTAAATAGTTTAGGAATTAGAGATAGTTTAGGAGAGAACCTCTCTACTAAATTAGAGATAATTTAAGAGATAAATAGGAGTTAGAGATAATTTAGGAGGTAAATAGGAATTAAAGACAATTTAGGAGGAAGTTGGGGAAAGTGGTGCCACTTGGCTAAACATTAAAAAAGCAAATCCCTCTTTCTTTATGCTTGTTAAAATTGGTGTGTCCACATCACCATACTTATCCTTGCTTCAAACCCCCTGCCTAATTTTCTGTTATATATAATCCACCTCAGAAATCCTAATTTCATTGTATAGTTGGGGATAGGTGCTAACTTGGAATTAATGCCAATTCACGAGCAGGTATGCGTGTTATAGGTGAAGGTATTTATAATTTTAAATTGTTGTAAGTATGCAATTCAAATCAGAATTCTAAGGTGGAATACAGTTTAAAAATCCCTAAATTCTAATTCAACCTTTTACCTAGAAATGGAAGACATGGGAACCTCTCTAAATCATCTCCTCAATTGGCTTAGACGAAGAACTTTGTATGACCCTTTCCCTTTCTAGTTGTTACAAAGTACCCAGACTGGAAGCGTCCAAGTCGTACAACTCTGCGAGGTATGTATTGTAGGCGAGTTACAAACTTGATACCCTGTAGAAAATGATAGCAACATGATATGAGAAAAAGAAGGAAAGCAACCAAATAACTTGTGTAGAAAAATTAATAGATTGGAACGATGTAAGAACCTGGCCAGGGATTACTTCAGGATATTTTGCATATGGATTTGGTTGAATCCACCAATTTTTGCCATTACAATATACAAAACCAAAATTACCCACCAATATGTGAGATATCTTTGGCCAATCTTTTCTTGTGTACTTTTGGTACTGTTTCTCTAGAAGAGGGCATTCAAATAAATCCAGTGACGAAATGTGGCAGGGAGTCCATTTTCTGGAAAGGACTTGAGTTTATGAGCGTCAGAAATGCCCAGATATTCTAGAGAGGTGAGTCTCTGTAGCTCTCCAAGTTGTAGGAACTCTAGACTATTAACATTCCAGAAGCGAAGTTCGATAAGAGAGGTGGGTAACAACCACTCCTCCTCTCCTTTCTCAGGGAAGGAGATGAGACCGGGGCAGTCACTAATGGTCAAATCTTCAAGAGATGTAAGCTTGTTCAGTCCCATGCACTTGGGTAGGGTGTCTAGATTGTTGCCGCATCCGCTGATGATAAGTCTCTTCAGTGTCGTGGGCAATCCCCCTTCTGGAAAGGTCACCAGTCGTGGACATTTGAATATCCACATTTCTTCAAGGGATGCCATCAAGTTGTTCATGCCGTGGGGGAAAGACTCAAGATTGCTGCAATCTTTGAACCAAATTATCTTCAAGGTGGGCCACCTTCCATCAGGGAAATGCACGAGAGAGGAACACTCTTCAATGGTCAATACTTCAAGAGATGTTAGCTTGCGAAGCCAACCAGACCCACAAAGGACTTCAAGATCACTACAATCGACCATGTGTAAAGATTTTAGGGAAGTGGGCAACAACCAACCCTCTTCTTTCAATGCTGCAGAAGATGCCAGACCAGGACACTTAGAAATGAGTAAAAATTCAAGAGTACTGAGTTTATTGAACCCCAAGGTCCAGAGCTTCAACCTCTCACAAGAAATGATAGAAAGTTTATTTAGGCTGGGGGGCAACGTCATTGATGTAAGCCCTGGAGTATTCTCGATGGTTAGACGTTCCAGACAAGTGAGGTTATAAAGATGTTGCAAGGCCTCAAGTTCAGGACATTCAGTAATTTTCAAATATTGAAGAGAAACAAGGTGATGTAAGCCCACTATCTCCTTCCCAAGATTGGGACATTTTTCAATTACCAATTCTTCAATTGCTGTGAGGGATTGAAAGAATTCTTTAGGTAGGCATACGAGACTTTGAATACCAGAAATACGCAAGGAGGAAAGAGAAGTTAGTTTGGGAACACTGTGCAACAGTAATTCCCCATTCAGATTCAACATTTGTATTCTACAAATAGATGGAAGCCGTGGAAGAGATACCAATTCCAAACATTTCTCTACCTTCAAGGATGTCAAGGATGGAAGATGGTCTGGCAATTCCTTCAATTTGAGACAGTTGCTCATGTCAAGGTCATGAAGACAAGAAAGTTCTTTACCTGCCATCGAAGAAGAACAAGAAGCTGAWGATGATGAAGATGGTTCATTTGAGATACTTACGCATATTCGAGGAGAAGTGAGTTCTTGACAATTTTTTAATTTCAATTCTAACAAGGAAGGAAACCGATAAGAAGGCAGTCTCCTCAACTTCGGACAATCTTCAATTGTAAGCACACAGAGGCGAGGGAATAGTTGTTCACATTTAGCATCTTCTTCTTCTTGGTCTGTCCCTCCGAAACACCATTTCTCCCATTCATGGTTCTCCTTGAATATCAATGTTTCTAGTGATTGAAATCCTGCCCCACAAAATTCAGACCCCACAGACCGTAGATTATCCATACCCAGTATCTCAATATGTTTGAGCACGGGTAGCCCTCCAAGAGGAGGAAGGACCTTGATTTGTTTACATTTGCCAAGCTCAACTTTTACCAGTTTGGAAAGCATCCCAATCCAATCAGGGAACCACGATCCGTGATAGCAATTAATGATTAATTGCTTTAAATTGGAATGAGGATGCAGACATTTGATCACTTCCTCATCAACAACTCTTCTTGCGTCCCTTGAATCATTTCTCCATTCTAACCTCAACACTTCAATGTGTTCTTTTTTGTTCAGATTGGCCTCAACAGCATCCTTAGCAATGACTACATTCTCTAGCTTCGAAATGCAAACCTCTCCCTTGAGGTGCTTCAAATCCTTCAACTCTCCAATTGTAGTGGACCCACTGTTGATGCCTACAATGAATTCAGACAAGCTTTGAAGATTAATCAGTCTTCCAATTCCATGTGGCATCTCCTCTACCTTCCATCCTTGTGGAGTCTTGATGTGTCGGAGGTTGATTAGATTGCATAGACCTTCAGGTAACCTATTGAGGCAAGGAAGTATTAAAGTTTGTAAATTGTAGAGGCTACAAATTGACTCTGGTAACCATGTAATATCTAGGTTGCGTATGTCAAGGTACCGTAGGAGCTTTAAATTGCATATTGAATCTGGCAACTCATAGAGGGTACCTTGTAAGCACAACACCCTTAAGCATTTCAGTGAAAGAAACAGATCATCAATGTGGTTATCATCTAAGAGTACTTCATAATTTGCAGGTTGAAAAAATGTGCGTAGAGTCTTGGCCTTGCAAAACCCATTAACCTGTATCGGTTGGCTTCGTGTAGGACAGAAGGATGCATGGCGAGCATTTGGTGCAATGTTGCTCAACTTATTGCTCTCCAATCTGAAGCATATCTCCCTTGAAATAGATTGTGCTAAATCGTGAATGAGATCGTGCATTACAAACTTTGTTTTGTCGTCGCGAGAACATTGAAAAAATGACCTCGATAATAGATCATCAAAATACTCACAACCTGTATCTTCCATTAGCTTTTCACTTGTTGAGTTTACAAACCCTTCTGCCATCCACAACAAAACTAACTCCACTCTCTGAAAAAGGTAGCCCTTTGGAAAGATTGAACAATAAGCAAAGCAGCGTTTCAGGTGTGCTGGGAGATGTTGGTAGCTCAGTCTTAGAGCTGGCAAAACATTGTCTTTGTCCTCTGGTACATCCCATTCTTTGCTTTTTAATATACATCTCCACTCTTTCTCGTTCGTTTTAGATCTTAAGAGGCTTCCAAGTGTCTTTGCAGCAAGAGGCAAGCCTTTACATTTGCTCACAATTTTCATACCAATATCTATCAGATTTGGATCTGGGTCTCTGGATGCAAATGCACATTGCTTAAACAATAACCAACAGTCTTCATTTGATAAACCCTCCAAATCATGAGCAGAAACCGTGCCCATGAGAGATGAAACTGTGTTACTTCGTGTGGTTACTAATATTTTGCTTCCTTGTTTGGCAAATGTTAGAGGAGCTCTCAAGGCATCCCAGTCATTGCCGTTCTCATTCCAAACATCGTCAAAGACTAGTAAAAATCTCTTCCCACTCAATGTATTTTTAAGTCTAACTTGCAGTGGATCCAGGTGTAAGAAATCACTAGATTCCCCAATGGCAGACTCAAGGATGGCCTTTGTTAGAGCCTTAACATCTTGATTGGACACATAAACCCATGCCTTGAGATCAAAGTGATCCTCCAGCCTGTGGTCATTGTATATCAACTGAGCCAAAGTTGTCTTTCCAAGCCCACCCATTCCAACAATCGGAATTACATCAAACACATCTTCTTCACTTGGCTTATCCAACAACAACTCAATGATCTTGTTTGCATCGTTTTCTCGACCGTAAACACGTGATGCGTCAACCAGAGAACTCGTTTCTCGTCTCTGTGTATTTTCAACTAAGGGAATCGCTCCAGCACCTTCTGTTAAACCGAGTTCATCCCTTTCTTTTGCGAGTTCCTCTAGTTTCTTTGTGATTGCTTTTATTCTAGATGCTGTACCAGATTTATCAAATATCTCCTTTATCTTATCAAGTGGACTAATAGAAAAGAACGGGCTCCATACCTGGTCAGCATCAGCCCGATGAGTTTCTGATTCCAATTTGAATCGTTCAACTTCGGTCGTGTATTCATCTACTATGTCTTCTGCGTCATAAACCAGATGCTTGAATTCTTCTAGCCACATCTTCACTAAGGAGTTACTAGTCTGTTTTCGCTCAGCATCATTGACCACAGCGTGGATCTTCACCAATGTAATTCGCAGCTTCTTAAGGTTCTTGTCAACACCCCACAGAGATTGAAATTCTCTAAGGATTGGAGAGGACAATTTGTCGAACAATGTTTGAAGGTATGCGGAAAGAAGTGCCTGTGCCACAATAGACATCTTGTAGTCAGTCGAATGAAAAATCGAGAGATGGAACAAGAGAGAAGAGTTACAAGGAGCACAACGCCCAGGCTAGCTCAAGTTAAATTCAATTATAGGATGAACAATCAGAAAAGAATATTCTGTAGTTTTGCTCTGTACTCTAATTTCGTCACTAGCTTTTCCGTGTAAGTCATAAAAATCGATTTTGGTCTTGAAAGCGTTTAACAATTCAYTGCTGTTGGTGCGCAGCTATCAAACACATCTAGACCATGCTGGTTGATTAAAAAAAATTGTTTGGTTGCAATGCAATTTTATTTGCATTATTGCAAATGCATTGGACCATAAATGAAAATAATGCAAATTTTGGTTTAGTTTTGTTTTGAGTTATACTTGTTTCACTTCAGGTCTTATTTTTAGGGGCGAGCATGGGTCRGTAAGGTTCGGCAGAACATGGAACCAAACCGGTAGGGGTTGGTTTCAAGGTCCACTTGTGGAATCTATTCTTTTTTACCCCTGCCCCCAAAAAAAATGAGTAATTTGATCTATAGTTTCAAGCATTAGCTAAAACCTATCCTATTTTGTGTATTACTAAAACACCCCTATAGTTTGCATATGTTTTACTTAATTGACCTCTTATTAAGAACAATTTGTATTTTCATCTAGGGATGGTCACATGATCCCTTAAAGTGTGCTGAAAATAAATATGAAGGGGCCTTTGGTCCAAGGTTTTTATTCTGAAAATAGTCCTAATAATGCTCTTTATCTATCTTTTGGAAAACAAATAAACCCTCTCCCCACATTTTAACTTTGTTTGGAAAAGGGGTGGACACATGTGATATGAGAACTTTTAAGGGTTTTTTGGAATAAAAAACCTGGCTTGATGCCCTTTCACATTTTCATATTATATTAAAGAAAAAAGATAAATTACTTAAGTGGCCCAATGGTCAAGTGAGACCATGGCCTTTGCAAGTTGCAACCATGAGTATATAATATGTTCAAATTTTTACATCCTCAATGTATTTTAAGATTTTTTTTTTAAGGCAAGTTTGGTTTCAAGGCTAATTCCACCAAATCCAACCAAGGCCAATTCTTCAGGTTGGTTTAGGTAGGATTAACCCTTAGACCTTTGAACCAGATTCTATTTAGTAATAAATTGGGTATGGTTATTTCAAGGTCAGTTTAAGGTTGACTTCATTTGATTTTGGGTAGAACCTACCTATTTGCTCACCCCTACTATTTTACTTCTTTTTATTGCAGTCAAATAAAATTAAGTAAAAATTTGAAACAAAAATAAATTAGAATTTGCACCCAAACCATTTCTCACTACCATAACTTTGCACCAATACAAATAAATTTACACCGGAACCAAATGCAGCTTTACAACGACTATAAAACGAAACGTTTCTTTGTTGTGTATAAAATTTGGACACTGCAGTCTGCAGGCGGTGGTCACCTGAAATGGATTTCATTTCTTACAACCAAAAATTTATTCACGTTGGATCGATTTGTGCTAGAGTGCAAAGCAAAACTTGTATGTGCATTCTATCTAGTTACAACTTCCAATCAAATATTCAATCCAACCAATTTCGTATTGAAAAACCCAATCCAAGTATCTGGTACAACCAACCAAAAGAGGCAGAGACCATACCCAATGAGCCAATTAGAACCTTCTAGGTGCAGGTTTCAATAGAACTAAATAAAATTTAAGGGTCATTTATTATAACACCGCTATAATTTCATACATTTACTTAAACCTACCTTATAACTTATATTCTACTATTTGCCATCTGAAAATAGTAACATGTTCATCTAAATAGGGTGAAAAATGTTCAAGGGCATAGACCCATGGTTGTTTATCCCAAAAGTAGGCCTAAAACTTTTACGTATAGAAATTGAATTAAAATTGAACAAATAGAACCAAAATGGAGTGATCTCTCATGTCTTACTAGAGGCAAAAATGGCATTTTTTATTTTTATGTTCTTTTAATTATATCTGTTTGAAAGGATATTAGGATCAAAACTGTCATTTTTCACCTTCATCATCTAATGGAAAATCTATTAAGTAAATTTATTGCAAACTATAAGAGATGTTTTAGTAAATTAGGATAAAAACTGTCATTTTTCACCTTCATCTAATGGAAGGTCTATTAAGTAAATTTATTGCAAACTATATGAGATGTTTTAGTAAAACGCAAACTAAAAGATAACTTTTAATAAATCCATGGAACTACAAGGCATGTTTTATTAATAAATAAAATGAAGTAAGTAGTTTTGAGGGTAAATTACAAATAGGTACCCTATACTTTGGGGGTAGTGATAGATAGGTACCGTAAACTTTCAGTTGCAACACTTGAGTACCTTGAACTCAAAAATAGACACTTGGGTCCATCCGTTAGTATTCCGTCAATTAAGTATTGTGTAATGTCAAAAATACCCTTCTCCTGTATTTTTGAGATCTTAAAATCATCGCTAGAGAATGCCGTCATCGGAAATTTTGAATATGTTATTTGCATCATGGGGAGACGTTCAGTTACTTGCGAATGATCTCAAAAATACACAATAAGATATTTTTGATATTATATAATGTTTAACTGACGAAATACTAACAGATGGGCTTATGTGTCTATTTTTGAAAGTTCAAGGTACTCAAGTGTTGCAATTAAAAACTTATGGTACCTATCTGTCACTACCCTAAAGTATAGGGTACCTATCTATAATTTACACTAGTTTTAATCTATTTGATGTGGCACAAAGATGGTTGCTATGTCACATTCAAATACAACCAAACATAGGATGTAATATTAGAATTTCTTTATACAACATCCATAGTTTTACAATGATTCCTGGTACCAATGGAGACCACCATTCTTTGTCAATGAATTAGCCTTAAATAAATAGTTTATACATATTTTAAAAATTAAATTTCACAATATTAACATCAAACCCTTCTTTCTTTTTTGATACGGAACATCAAACCCATTCAACTTGCAGAGGTTACCATCCTTAATAAACTCTAGATATTCTATTTAATTAATTCAAATTTGGGCAAAGTTGGTTAATTTATTGACATTTTATGCAACTCAGCTACAATAGGGAGTCCAGATCACCTGCCAACAAAATTCATTCAAATGACTTATCAACATGACTTTACGTCGCACATCACATGCATGATGGGTTTCACTTTTATATTGGATCCCAGTCTTATGATAAGATGTGTGGTGTTAGATCAAGTTGATAAAGAATTGAAACGTATTTTATTGGCAGAAGATCCCAATTCTACAATAGATGTAATTGATTTTGATTGGAAACTCTAGCCTCTAGCAGCTATAGCTCCTTTGTAGCCGGACTGAACTGGCATCATGCTACCATTACACCAACCTCCTTGAATAAATTATTTTTCATTTATATCTCTAACCATTTTCTTTTGCTCAGTAACTAGAGTCTRTAGTTCTTTACAACTGCAATTCATTGTTTTCAATCCAGCGTTGATCCAGATGATTGAATCGTTCGAACCATCATTTAGTCACAATTCTAAGTCCGATTTTCTTAAAAAGTCCTACAACTGGAATACCATCCCTTGAGGAAATCCTACATACCCTAATAATTAAGCATAGAACCAGATAACTGATAGAGAGATCGGCTTCAATGCTCACAAGACCGTGTTCATGCTGTGCATTGAGAATATCTCTTTATTTATATGCTTTTGTTCCATGAAGAAATATTTTCGATGCAAGGCTACAAGAAACTGTACGAACAGTATGAACACAGTCGTGTAAGTACCAAATCCGATTTCACCAATAGAGCAGATGAGCAGATAAAATGGTCTAGGATTTGAGTCAAATTACTATTAACTTGTGCCTTTTAGTTGTGTCTGATTTATGTTTCCCTGTTACAAGAATTTTGACGTCAGCACAAGTTTGGAGAATTTGGACCAATATAGGCATTCTATTTTGTTGGGCTACATTTAGGCCCAGGCCAGCCAGTTAGCATTACCACTATTTCAATTAGTGGTTCCCAGAATTTAACTAATTTCAAATTAGCTCCAAGTGAGTGCGAAATACCAACATCTAAGCTAACAAAGAAGCTCAATCTCCCTCACCAAAATCCATATAGATTCCTACAAAATCGATAGAATTTGAAGAATAGGCAACAATGATCAGTAATAAACAATTCAAAAGATGTCATTGTTTTAAAAAATGAGGTCTGACACAAGCTAGCGGCAAGGATCAAAGTTTCACAATGTATTGGTCCGTATCAATAGATACATATTGTATCACCGATTCAACGATGGGCAATTTCAGGGTATGACTTGTTTTAGGGGTAGCCCCAAACCTTATATAACATGCTTTTAAAAAATTGAGAGGATGGGTAGAATTGTAAAATGGGCCGTGTTGCCTATGGCCCGGCATGGCTTGCGAATCCGTAGTGGGCTGAGTGTTACCCACCCGATCAGCCTTTTGGGGAGTTTTTTTCTTTATAAAAATATCCCTCAACAACTATAAACAGTTATATAGGGGGTGTTTATGTATTTTGGCTTTGGGGGAGAAAAAATGATAACAATATCCCCCAACAGCTATATAACAATTAGTTTGGGGGGCATTTAGGTAAAGTAATTAATAACTTTATAATGATCAAAATACCTCTCTCAACAACTAAAAAACGGTTAGTTTTTAAGGTATTTTGAGCAATTGAATTATTTTCAATTCCTATAAATAGTCCTATCCTCCACCCTTCTCATCACACTAATTTAACAATTCTCTTCTCATACTCTCTCAATGTCTCATACATTACCATATTCTATCTCTACTCTCCAATTTTCAACTTTATTGAAGTTTCAACAAGAATAAGGTTTGCTCAAGTATTTCAAGTTAACAATTTGGGAGGCTTGGAGGGCTCCAACCATTGAAATCAAGTTGAGATTCCGAACCAACAATTTGGGTAAGTGCAATTAAATTAATTTTTATTTTTTATAATTAAAAAAAAGGGTCGGCTCCTCCCAAAACCAATTCCCCAACATC